GAAAAGAGATAGTGGAAGGGTAGGGAGAAAATATAGTGAGAATAAAGGGGGCGGAAGAGAGATTATTTTAACCAAGTCAGATTTTTGACAAAGCCTAGAATTCGGTTAGGGTTTATTTTGGAGAACAAGACTAAATTATCAATTTCATAACTTCCAAACTGTTTATGTCTTCTGCTGATCAGCGATGGACATTTGCAGAGGATGTGCTCAATTGTTTCCATGTCTTCTTCGTCCTCACATAGACGACAGTAATCCTCTCCACTGGAGTCCCACTTAGAAGTGAGAGATCTAATTTTGCAGTAACCAGTTATAATCCCCACAACGATTTTGATCTCCCTCTTACTGTGATCCAGCAGCAAAGACGTTCTTTTACGAGAGAATTCAGGCCAGATAGATTTAGAGATGCTGCAAGCAGGTTCCCTTAGCCATCTTTTACTACCTCGCAATGGAACGCACGTAATCTGGCAATGAAATAGCTAATGGGGGGTTTCACAGTTCCCTCAATCGGAAGTTTGGACGACTGTGAGCCCCCTCGAGCAAGCTCGCCGGCTATCTCATTCCCTTCAATGTCATTATGTCCTGGAGCCCAGCATAACCCAACTATCTGTCGTATATCATTTAGAGCGGTCTTATATATATATATATATATATATAGTTACCGGTCCCGTGATATCGGCATTAAGTGCTTTTACTATCTCGGTTGCGAGAATCTCTGCTTGAAAAATGCTACAGTTTTTGTTGAGTTTATATGCCTGGAATTTAATCAGGCATCTCCAATGGTTGGAGATTCAAGATTGCGTTTAAGGCTGCCTGAGGTGTACTTCTTAATGCTCCGGTCATCAAGATTGAAGCCGATCGCTGTACTAAGCTCAGTTTTGTCAGCACCATTTTTTTGTTCACCCCCTGCCACCAAACGAGACAACCAAAAGTAAGTATGGGTAGGACGATCGTCGTATACAGTTAGTGTATAATTACGGGTCTCAATCCCCAACTCTTGCCTATGGAGTTCTTGCATGAATAGAGTGCCAGTAATCCGTTCTTAGAGCGTTCCTCAACATTCCTATTCCACAGCAGTTTGCGGTCTAGGATTGTGCCAAGATATTTAGCTTCATCACAAAGAGTTAAAGTCACTCCAAGTGATGGCAGACGGAAACTAGGAATTTTGCGCTTCTTAGTGAAGAGATTTTAAACATTGAACGGTTATCTTTAGAGTACACTATGCTATATAACTTGCGATGCGGACAATCAAGAGACAACATTCATTGGTAAAATGTGCCTTTGAATGGAACAAATTTGTTGAATCTTCATCGATCCAAACACATAACAAATGGCGTTGATTTTGAAGTATTGCCATCTTTTGGCATATTTACTAGATTTACGTTCCCGAACTTTTCAAATTCTTTTGTTCTCTGAGAGCGATTTTTAAACGTTTCCCTTATACTAGCTTTACTATTAAAAAAGTACTGGAACATACCATATATTATCCTCAAGCCGAACTTCTTGTCTTATCTGATGTCTCAGAAAAGTTATGAGACTACATTTGAGTTTTAAATTAAAATGAACTAATGTTTGGAAATTTGATTGTTTGTAAAACATATCATGCCCCGTTTAGAATAATGTTGTACAGTAATAACATCCGTACTATTGAAAATCATTTTGAATTAAATTGACATATGTTTTAATTAAATGAATTCTTGGACCGCCTATACGATCGTTCTTGTCTTAACCCTTTCAGTGTTGTTGTCGAATATATTCGACATTTAAAATTACTCTTTCTCTGCGATTTTTCGGTTATCCTATGTACCGTTACAATTGATATTTTTGTTTTTGCTGAAAGACAGACAAAACTGTCCGAGGGTTAAAATAAAAATTGATTTTTGTTCTAAACTCTGTGCCTTTATATGATCTTAAATAAAAAAATTTAGATTTTTATTTCGACAAAAAAATTTTTTTTTTTGATACTGATAGGGTTAAAAAACTTCATTTACATGGCCTTCCTTCGTTGCCAATCGTGTATGTCGTACACTTGTATGTGAAGAATTTAAGTTGGCAACAACACCTATTATGATTTCAATATTGGCTTAGCTAAATTGTAATAGTTTTTCAAAACGATATTATTTATTTTGCCTGAAAGTATGCAGTATTTTTTACTGGTATAATATTAAAGTTTTACATGTAAGTCGATGTTTAAAAATGGAATTCTTTGGCGGTGTAAGTGGTGAAAACGGATCGGAGGAATAACATTCAAAGAGACTTGTAAATCTCGACTAAAAGTGTTTCGTAAAAATGGGTGAATGACGTCTAGGCGGAGTATGGGGATATATCAAAAAAGTGCATCTATAGAGACAATTTTTTTCCTAAGAGAAATTATTATTGGAATTTTCCAAAAATGGTAACACTATAATTTTATGAGGGAGGAGATTCGTTTGAAGAGATATGGGTTTAAACGAGAATTATTTCTAATTCAAGGTAAATCAAATTGGAACTCACAAATCCAACAGGAATTTATATTTGGGGGCTATCGTAAACCTGGACCAATATTGATAATGATATTCCAAAATACCAAATTACTGCTAATTCGGTGGAAACACTGTACAATATTTACCTTTTTGGCATACTTTTATAAGGGGCGAGCCGAAAAGTGGACCGATATTGATCCTTTTTGGTAAGAATTTAGCTTTTGGGAGGGTAAAAAAAAAAACGTTTTTATACCCTTCACCACACTGTGGTACAGGGTATTATGTATTTGTGCATATGTTTGTAACAGGAAAAAGGAAACGAGGTAGACACATGGTTCCTTGTGAGAATATGCATAGAATCACTTTCAGAGTCGATTTATACATGTCCGTCCATCCGCCTGTCCATGTTAAATTGTAAACACAGTACAGGACGCATCTATGATCAGAATTGGATGAAATTTGGCACAGATCATTTATTTGACCAAGGACGGCCCCTATTGAAATTGTCCGATTTTAAGTAAATGGTGCACTAAAGACCCAAGGTTAGGCCAATTGACACAACATTTTGCACAGCGTGCTAAATTAGGTCCAGATTGATGTACGCGAAATCGGATCGAAAATATATAGTTTCGTCCGATTATATGTAAATGGTGCACCATAGACCCAAAGTTCCTCCGATTGATACAAAATTTTGCACAGCGTATTGATTTATGTCAAGATCTATGTACGCAATGTTATGTTATAATCGGTTCAGATTTAGATATAGCTCCCAATATAGTTTCGTCCGCTTTTAAGTAAATGGTGCACCACAGACCCAAAGTTAGACCGATTGACATACAATTTGCACACCGTACCGAATTAGATCCAGATCTTAGCTCCCATATCAGATTAATGTAGGCGAATTTTCGTTGAAATCGGTTCAGATTCAGATCTAGCTCCCATATATATTCGTCCGATTTTAAGTCAATGATCCACAAATGACCCAAAATATGGTCGATTGGCAAACAACTTTGCACAACGTACTGAAGTTCAGACATAGTACATATATATTTTCGACAGATTTCATGTTAATTGATCTTCAAACAAACACAGTATGCTGGTGGAATAAGTGCCTAATAATGTCAAATTTTGCAATAAATACATCACATGGTTCAAGGCAATCTGTCAGATGAACTTCAAACTACACATAAACACTCCTCACGCCTCATAGAGCCTGTACATACAATTTGGTAAAAATCGGTGGAGTAATGTTTGAGTTTAGCGATCACGAACATACACGTAATTTTTATATATGTAGAGATAGAGATTTTAATATCGCCAAACGTGGTTCCTAGATAATTGGAAGGAAGTTTCTCCTTTCAATTTAATCATACGATTACAAAAATATCCTTTAAAAGTTCTCAATTTTTTTAGAGCAGAAGTGGTATATACTGTTTTCTATGGTGGGAAATTTGACATATGTGATCGCTTAAACTAATTTGTTCTAATCGATGTTGATTAAATATTTGACAAATTTTTTTATGTTTACTTATATATAGGCATATGTTCTGTTTATATACAATTAATACAAACCCATAAATGTTTTCCTATACAAATCATGTATGTATATGTCGGTATTTTATTAATCTCCAAACATTATTTGCATGAACCCATAAATAGACTACCAAAATTCCAGCGAACAACCATTATAACAGTATCTGAAAGCAGGTAATTTTAATTAATTAGAATATAATTATGTCGATATTTTTGTGTTCTGCCCTTTTCGCCTTCTTAACTGAGAGTGGGCTTACTTTCTTGACCAGTCTGCCTATCTACAGAACAGCCACAAATGAATCACTTCATTAACCTGTGTAAACAACGCTGCTATGGCTTTCAGGTGCTTCCCATTTGTTTGCTTTTGTTTAGACCACCAATTTTTGTCTTGGTCTATTGTTAATTACTCGTGGCAAAATGACGTTGACAGCGTCGTTTTCAGCAATCAATCTTCGGGTGGTTTTTTGTGTGTCAAACAACAACGCACAATAAAAACGGTTGTTGCCAATTTTGTCTTGATGTCGTGTTGATATATGTTAATTTTCGACCATTTATGATTGTGGCTATCTGTGGTGAATTGGTTACTTTGGTGGCTACATGTTAATGAAGGAAAATTTGTTAGTATATTAAATATATATATATATATAATATATATATATATATATATATATATATATATATAATATATATATATATATATATATATATATATATATAATATATATATATGTAAAAAAAAGTAGAAAATACAGGAAATATTTTTTGGTCCACATTCGCCACAAATATAGGCGGGGATTTAAAAAAAATAGGCGTGGATTAAAAAAATCACTTTCCCCATAAAATTAAACAAATTTATTTATATTTATTAACTAAATAATTTATTTATATTGCCTTAAAACCTAACCCCTGATAAGAACAATTTGTACTAAAAATAAATTAAAATACGATAACAAATTAGGTAATTCCTTAACCATGCTATCACACATATAATGAGTATTCGATTTCATATCAAAATTCATCGAGTACACCCAATTGATTTAAACGTTGCAGTCCGAATTTTAAATACTTTTGCAATTTCTCTTGTGCAAACATTAGAGCCAATTTCTTGGCGGCATAATCTTCATTGGTGAATGCCTCAATGCTGGTATCATTGGACAACTCCTTTGGCAATGTAACCATTGGCAAGAATCCGAACAATGCAAATAGTCCGTACAATTCCCGTGACCGCAATTCATATTTTAGATCATCCAGGGTGGGTATCGATTCGTAACGTAAATATTCTAAAGTCTCAGCGAACACTTTGTAATAGGCTTCAATTAATTCGTCACGTTTTGTTGTTAGAATATCGTATTGGACACTGGTGCTGAGGAAGAAGTTCAGGTCACAAGCTGGACTGCCAAAGAAACTCAACTGGAAGTCAACCTGAAAGATTACAAGAAAGAGAAGAGAATTAATTAGAAAAAATAATCTATAAGGAGCCACAACATTTGTCGGTGGACAAAATATTTGTAAAAAATTACGCCTATATATGGTGCTTCAAAAAATTGTTTTTTTAATCCACGCCCATATTTGGGGCTTCAAAAAATTGTTTTTCTAAAAAATCCACGCCCATATTTGGGGCTTCAAAAAATTGTTTTTCTAAAAAATCCACGCCTATATTTGGGGCTTCAAAAAATTGTTTTTCTCAAAAATCCACGCCTATATTTGGGGCTTCAAAAAATTGTTTTTCTAAAAAATCCACGCCTATACTTGGGGCTTCAAAAAATTGTTTTTCTAAAAAATCCACGCCTATATTTGGGGCTTCAAAAATTTGTTTTTTTAAAAAATCCACGCCTATATTTGGAGCTTCAAAAAAATCCACGCCTATATTTGGGGCTTCAAAATTTTTTTTTCTAAAAAATCCACGCCAATATTTGGGGCTTCAAAAAATTGTTTTTTTAATCCACGCCTATATTTGGGTCTTCAAAAATTGTTTTTTTAATCCACGCCTATATTTGGGACTTCAATAAATTGTATGGGATCTATATCTAAATCTGAACCGTTTTTCACGAATCTTAGCACACATCATTCTAGACTCAATTCAGCACGCTGAGTCAAATTTCGTGCAAATCGAAAGATATATAACCACTTTGGTGCACCATTTACCTTAATCCGGACGAAAATATATATGAGATGTATATCTAAATTTGAACCGATCCTTCCAGACTCAATTCAGCACGCTATGCCAAATTTCGTGCAAATAGAAAGATAAATATTGACTTTGGTGCACCATTTACATTACATCGGAGGAAAATATATATGCGAGCAATATCTAAATCTGGACCGATTTTCATGAAACTTAACACACATCATTCTAGGCTTAATTCAGTACGTTATGCCAAATTTCGTGGGAATCGAATGATTTTCAAGGACTTTGGTGCACCATTTACCTAAAATCGGGCGAAACTATATATGGAAGCTATATCTAAATGATGAACCGATTTTCCCATTTTCAATAGGGTTCGTCCTTGGGCCAAATAAGTGTCCTATGCCAAATTTCATCCAATTCGGATCATAAATGCGACCTGAACTTTGTTTATAATTATACATGGACAGACGGACGGACGGATATGCATAAATCGACTTAAAAAAGGAACCATGTGTCTATCTCGTTTCCCTTTGCCTTTTACATACATATGCACAAAGATATAATACCCACAATGTGGTGAAGGGTATAAAAATCCACGCCTATATTTGGGGCTTCAAAAAATATTTTTAATAATTTTCACGCCTATATTTTTGTAAGAAATTTTTTTATAAAATACTTACAAATATCGCCTTGGTTGGTGTTTTCGGTTGATTGTCATCTTCATAGCCAAACATAAAATTATTTGTCCACAAATCACCATGGTTGAGAACCACAATACGATCACCCACCTTGGGTTTACCCAAACGATAGGTGATGTTTTTAAAATCATCATAATATTTTTGTAATTTCTTAGAAATTTCCTCAAATCCTTCCCAGGTGGATGATGTTTTAACCAATTGATTTAAATAGCCTCCAAACATATGGAAAAATGTATCAGATTTCAGGACAGTTTCTTCGCACAACATGCCACGTTGGAAGCGTTTGGCAATTGCAGGATCCTTGAGGAAAAAACGAATACCAATTTCAATATCTCCAATTTTTTTCGATGAAGAAGTGTGTACTCACCTTTTTCAGTAATACCATAGAGGTGGCATGGAACTTAGCTAATTGTTCCAAAATCAAAATCGAATGATTCCAATCTAAACCATCCTGGCGGGAGGCAACTTTGAAACCCTCAACTGTCAGGTCGTTGAAGACAATTGTTTGCATGGGACTTTTGATGGCATAGAAGCAACTAAAATATACACCATTTTAAATTATTTTGTGTTAAATATTTTATAAATTAATTTTTTTTCATTACTTTGCTCCAAACACATCCGATTTACTGAGTATGGACAAACGTGGCAACACATCGGTATAGGTTAATTTCTCCTTCACAAACACAGCCACATCTTCGAGAAATTGTGTTTCGGGTGTAATGGGAATGGTCTTAATAATCAAAGAAATCTTTTCATTTTTCACCGGATTGTCACCATAGCTGTCATAAGTAATCACGGCACGATAAATACTCGAACAATAATTATCACCGGGATTACTACCCCAGGCAAAGTTCACTTCGTGTACGACAATTTTCGTTTCACGTAAACCTTCTTCAAGGGCATTGACGAAAAATTGTTCATTCAAGTGTTCCGGCACTACAATAGTTTCTTCGTTTTTTGTTATCATTTTTTTGCGCTTTTTTGCTTTTGCGTTTTGTTTTAAGCCCGTCCGCTCTGTTCAATGTCTAAGCTATTAATGAAGAAGATTTGACAAAATTGTGAGCTTTTTGTTGTTTGTTTTATTTAGTTTCCAAATCTCAGTCGGAATCAGGTATTTTGCATGAAATTTGCGATCACCAATCTTCGTGACCTTATCAACATAAAATTGATATGAGTGTGTGAGAAAGGGGGGTGAGAGATAACGACCAGAACACTTATGACTATAAGTGGTAGTTTGGCGTGTGAACTATACTTCGTGTGGCGTACGCTGGACTGAGAGATAACAAAATTGTTTCAGTGAGACAGGTTTGTTATTTGCATGTCATGCGTTCGGCTTCTTAAATTTGACAATAACTGAAATGTGTTTTTGCCTTCGTAAGACTTTCGGCAGGTCTACTATAGCCGGAAGATTTTTCTATAGAAGCACTCTATAGGCAGAAGGGTCTTTAAAATAAAAATTTATATATTTGTGGTTTTAAAAAATTGTTTTAAAAATACACCCCTTTTTTAAGGTATTAAAAAATAATTTTAAGCAGTGAGCGGAGCAGTATAGTCGGACATGGCCGGCCATATGATACCCCACACAACTATCACGAAAAGCAAACTTTTTCCGGTTCTATATTCTGGTCAATATTTCGTGATATTTGCGCCCTTTTTAACGATTATAGCTCAAAAACTTTGGTCACATCCCCTTCACCATGTAAACTAAGTGATATTCTGCCTTTAGAGCAACTAGAAAATCTGACAAAATTAAAGTTTTCGGTTCATTGCAACCCCTGAATGAAATCTCGACTTCACCGAAAACTATAGGCGTCGTCCTTGACCATAAACGGAACTAAATGTACAATTTCAATGCGATTAGCGCGACATTTCCGTCCTCTAATTGAGTAATAGTATGCACATAGTCACCTTTACCTAATTATGTATAACTCCCACATCAAAGTACATACAGCCATATAATTGGTATCAATTTGAAGGTCAAGAACTCCTCTTGGATATGTTATCAACTTCTCGGGTCTATGTCCTTCAGGAGTAAATATATAGGCCATAGAATACAAATTTTGTAATTTTTCACACAAAAGTCAGGGTCAATTTGACCCGCTAAATATTGATCGATCTTTATCAAAACAAGCATGCTTATTCCTTGGTCCGATCCCCTTCTCCATGTAAAATTTCACGATGTTCGGACCATAACTGCGGCCTATGGAGCGACCAGAAAAACCGACAAAAATTAAGTATTTGGTCCATTTCATTCCCTAAATATTAACCGATCTTTACCAAAAACAATAGGGGTCTTCATTTGACAGAACCCATCCTACATGCAAAATTTCGTGAAGATTGTTCCGTAACTGTGGCCCGTATCGTGTTTACAAATTATAATGGACAGACGGACGGGCGGACACATATGTCTAGATCGACTCAGCTAGTCGAGATATGGCGATCGGTATAGTTATAGGTGGGTCTAGGAACAATATTTCGCGGCGTTACAAACTCTTGGGGCTGCACAAAGCTATAATACCCTGACAACATGCCTATATTTGGGGTTTCAAAAAACAAAAAAAAAAAAAAATAAGTAAATAAATAATTATCAAGTTTACACATATATTTTTACTCTGATAAAATGATGTATATCTTTTAAAATAATTAGTTAAAATAGTTTATACGCCTATTTTTGTCCAATTATATTTACCCATATGCCGCAATGATTAATAACTTATCACAAACATAATTTGAATTAAATTCGCGTGGCAGGGAAACTGGCATACGCATATCTCCGATAACAAATGCTTTCAAGTGCGCGATATTTTGATTTGTCTGGTTGTCACCAACGGCAGGCTACACTCATTCGACAATGCCTAAAATTTGTTTTTGTATTTCGGTAGACATAATCACTCAATATTTCCCGAATAGATCAAATGCTGACGTTAGACCCGGTGAATATTATGAAATTGTGATTATAGGTACACGTACATAGATATACTTGTGAATTTTAATTTAAAGAAAAATAAATAAAGTTAATTTGAAATTATATTCATGATCTTAATTTGTTGATATTGTTGAGTCATTTGATTGGGTCCAATGACTTGCTAGAATTAGCCGTTTTAGTTATTTTAATCATGTCATGAGTATGACAAGTAAAAGGACCCACTTGTAGTTGGGACCTGATATAATAAATGTTTAACAATCCAACCCAAAAATATTTGTTTCTAAAAATCCACGCTTATAGATTGGGTCTCCAAAAAATATTTTTTAAAATCCACGTCTATAATTGGGCTCTATATACATCAACTATAGTTGTTGCTTACAAAATAAACACGCCAATATTTGGTACTTGAAAAAATATGCTAGCAAATTCTAATTTAAAGAAAATAAGTTCATTTCAAATTACATCCATGGGCTTTAATTGTTAATAGTGTTGAGTCATTTCATTGGGTCCAATGACTAGATAGAATTAGTATTTTCGCCAATATTTCGGAAATTATAATTTTTAGGAAAATGTCCAACTAGTATTTTGGACCTGATAAAATCTTTTTAAACTATCCAACTTGCATAATTGGCCAAATCCACCGAATTCAAATCCACTGACGTCTGAACAACTTTTTAAAAATCCTGAAAAATATATTTTTAAAAATCTACGTCTATAGTTATGCCCTGGATTTTTTTTAATCCACACATATAGTTAGGGCCAGATTTTTTTTTGAACAATCCACACATATAGTTGGAGGCAAAAATAATCGAGATAGACCCATGGTTCCTTTTGAGAATATGCATAGAATCACTTTCTGAGTCGATTTATGCATGTCCGTCCGTCCGGACAAACAACAAATAACAAAGTACAGGTCGCATTTATGATCCGATTTGGATGAAATTTGGCACAGGTCACTTAATTGGCCCACGGACGAACCCATATATATTTTCGTCCGATTTAACGTAAATGGTGTATCAAAGTCCCTATATATCTTTCGTTTTGCACAAAATTTGGCACAGCGTAATAAATTAGGTCTAGAATGATGTGTGTTATGTTTAGAGAAAATCGGTTCAGATTTATATATAGCTCCTATACATAGTTTCGTCCGATTTTATGTAAATGGTGCACCAAAGTCTATATATATCTTTCGATTTGCACGAAATTTGGCATAGAGTACTGAATTAGGTGCAGAATGATGTGTGCCAAGTTTCGAGAAAATCAGTTCAGATTTAGATATAACTCCCATATATAGTTTCGTCCGAATGGTGCACCAAAGTCCCTATATATCCTTCGATTTGCACGAAATTTGGCACAGAGTTTCGTGAAAATCGGTTCAAATGTTGATTTAGCTCCCATATATAGTTTTGTTCGATTTTATGTAAATCGTGCACCAAAGTTCTTATATATCTTTTGATTTACACGAAATTTTGCATAGTGTACTGAATTGAGTCTAGAATTACGTGTGCCAAGTTTCGAGAAAATCGGTTCAGATTTATATATAGCACATAGCACAGATTGGCACACAATTTTGTACAATGTACTTGATACGCGAAAGGACTTTCGTCCGGACTTTCGTCCGATTTAAAGTAAATAGTGCACTAAAGGCCCGTACCTAGGCCCATTGACAAAACGTACTGAAATTAATAAAAATTAATATCTAGCAAGGCGAATTCTGTTAGGATACATATGTAGAATATCCCCAATGTGGTGAATGGTATCATATAGTCGGCCCAGTACGACTTTACTACTTTCCTTACTGGTTTTAAACACGTCTATGTTTGAAAAAAAAATAGTACATGTATTGTACCTTGAAAATTTTGTTTTCTTAATAATGGCCTAAAAATGTTGCAAACGGAATGACATATTTAATATGCACTCATTACGTAGAAGTGTATAAAAACCTATGCACAATCTTCATAGAGTATTAAACGTTGTCTTTGGCGTCATTAACGATAAAAATTTTGATGTATTTCCAAAGTGTAGATGTATGACGTAGAAAATTTGACAAATTAAACTCATATTCTGCATACCCTACCTAAAAGGCGAAGGAATCTGAATACCTTGAAATTGAGGTGTTTCAGGTCAATAAAATTATCAGTTCCAAAATATTGCCAAAAAATGCTAATTTTTCCAAGTCTTTGGATCTAAACAAATGACTCGACACTATCGGCAATTAAAGGCATATTTAATACTTTCTATATTAATTTGCTTATTTTTAAATTAAACTTCGCCATATCGATGTACGTGGATCAATAATCTTGATTTCATAATATTTACTCTGACTAACGTCATCATTCACGTATTCAGGAAATACAGACAATTTTAGGAATTGAAGAGTGACCAAATCAAATCAAGAAATTGTGCCATTGTATTAGTCCGTTATCTCAGTTCTGGCACCCGAGTTTTATATTGGTTTTCTTTGCGCATTATATTATTTTTCTAATTCTACTTAAGTATTTCAAAAATTACACTTCTCTTTATCAGTTTAAATTTCACTTAGGTTTATCTATAATCTTGATTTTATATTACCATTATCAACAACTTGTTAGACCAATGATGATTACTATGTCATGGAACGGCAACAAGAAATTTCAGAAAATTACCTATGTTTAGAAGCCAAACAAAAATGACTGGGCTAAAATAAAAAGCCACGCGAACGTTGTTGTTGTTTTTTTTTAATTAACTGTTATGGCTGATTTGGGCATAACTAGACAGATAAATATATATGAAGCTCCTGTAAAATATATTTTCTATGGAGAAAATAGGCTGGTGATAGAGTACTTTATATTTATAAAAATCCATACTAAATTACTATAAATGGTACAATACAGTTAATGATTATTTTTCGGCAAATTATATTTACCCATTTACCATAATGATTAATGAAGTTATCGCAGAGATAATTTGACTTAGGTTTGCGTGGCAGTAGATAAGAAGTGTGTGCTATATTTTTGTTTGTTTGTCTGTCACCATGGACTTGGTTATCTTGATTTGACACTTCATGAAATTCAAA